GCTTGGGATGGCTTCTCAGTCCCTTCTCAGGCAGCACAAGCAGAGTCAGCTTCAAGCTCCTGCTTTGTGTGTTGCTCTGAGGGGCTCTTTCTTAGGCTGCTGTGCCTGCTGGCACCTAGGGGTGAGTGTGCCAGCAGAGAAATGATTGGTATCTTCTGTGGATGACAGAAGTGTGCCCAGGAAACAGGACCATCCAGAGTCTGGGACATCCTGTGCTGTAGAACCCTGTCACTGCCAGGCACAAGGGCTCTCTTGGTAACTTGCTGTGGCATGCCCCAGCAAAGCCTGGCTGACTTCAGGCTGGAGACCCATCACCAAACAGCCATTGTTTTGTCAACTGAGCGTTTGCATTCCTCCTTCAGCACTCCTCAGCCAGGGCTGGGCCTTAGCTCACCGCACCCCAGGGGGCTGACCCCCTTCTGCCACCCGTGTAGGTGCCTGGCATGTGTGCAGCATGGCTGACTGGCAGTGAGCTACGCCTGGCATTCTCCACCTCCGAAACTCGGTCACGAGCAGGGCTTATTACTCAGTTCCTCAAACATTGAATTTTGCCACCTCTCTCCAAAACATATTCATGTTGACATATCCCTTGGCCACTGAGCCCAGCATGGGGGCTGGACCTGGCGTTCAACTGAAATTCCTCCTACTTCTACTGCTCTCACACTACCTGGCTCCTTGCTTTCGGGTTTGGAGACCCTGAATTAAGGCTTCTGTGACCAGTGGAGGGATGGCATGACGCTTCATCTGGGTTTGTAATCAGGTGGAGCATCAGATGCTGCTGGCTTCTCCCCTCCCTTTTCACTAGTTACTGATAAACTCTGTAAACACTGATAGTTGTTTCCCTAATGTTGCTTTTTCTCTTTAAGTGACTCCTGCTAGGCTGTCTTTGTAAAAGAGTCAGGGGCTGGGCAGTCTCTAGCCAACAACCTCCTGTGCTAAAGGCTGATCAGTTATCAGCCGCTCTAGGCTAATAATAGCACTTATTAAGGACTTTCCACAAGACTGGAAAAAATGAGCAAAACCTCTACAAACCCTGTTTACAGGTAGTAGGGAGAAGGATCTGCCAGACAGATAAAGCCTGAAACAAATACTCGAGTGTGAGGGTCTAGTATCATAAAGTGTGTTGGAAACCCTGATTTCTGCTTCTGTCTTTTCTCTGACACGGAGAAAGAAATTTTTCTATGTCTTAGTTTCTCTGACTAAAACAAATGGGAGATTTGCTTCTGGCCTCCTTTGAAAACGGAATTGAGAAGGGGCTGTAGGTGCAAAGGGTTGTGAGTAGTGCTGACATCTACTGGTAAACTAAAACTGGCTGATAGGTAACATAAAAGAACATAAATACATAAATACATAACATAAACAGAACTTGGCGGTATTTGTGGGGGGTCTGGAGATTTATATGTTCCTTTTAAACATGAAAAGTTAGGTTTGCTCATTGTTAACGATAATGGCATCATATTCTTGGAGAGACACAGTGAAGAGATGCTACCAGAAGCTTTCCATGCTCATGGCCACGGCTGGTTGGGGCTGCCCCTTGCCAGATGCCTGAGCCTGCTTTCAGATGTCTCTGCCGTGCCCCTCCCTGCACACATCAATGAATCTCTCTGTGCCTCACTTTGTGCTTGGGAACCATGGTTGGGACACTGTTTCCTTCTCCCTTGGCTGAATTTGAGTGCTCTGTCAGCCTCTCTAGAGCACACACAGCACCTACCAGAATGGGTGACAGGTCATATCCACTGCGACTGCCAATGTAAATAACCACGGTGGTGGTATCTCTTCAGAGCACCTTTTACTTTTCCAAATCTCCTCCCAAAGATTTTTAACCACCTCAAGGCACAGCTGGGACAGTGCAGTTTGGAAGGCTAGCCTCTGCAGATTGAAACAAAACACAGCTATGCACCTATTTTTTTGAGGAAAACATACTTTACTTTCCCCATCAGACATACAGCATCTAAACAATAACAGCTCCTGATAGGAGGCCTGACAACACATATGTGAAAAGAGAAGCTGTATGAACTTACCATTCAGTGTTTTTATGTTATTTCTTAACCAGCTTGAAGACACAATTGACAGTTACACACAAGCTCTTGCTGAGAACAAGTAATTTCCTTGCCCTCCTCTAGGACACATCATACACATGACAATGTGGACACAGAACAGACAAGGCAGTTACATGGAGAGGTACATGCAAGAGAGAAGACATCAATGCAGTCACAGGCATGTGCCAGTGACAGAAGTTGTTTTACACTGAGCAGCACTGGCACCACCAAAATCACAGCACAGGGTGAAGGGAGTGGTCTTTCTGCCAGAAGGTGGGAAAGGAGCTGACCCGGGAGACCACAGCAGCCTGCAGTTCTTGTTTGATCCCAGCCAGAGCTGGTTTAGGGCTCCTCACCATGGCAGGCTGACTACTGCCCCCTAAGCCCAAAGGAGAGGAGGCTGCCAGGCTGTTTTTGCAAGTGGGAAGGGGGGAGTCCTGGGAAGCTGGTCTAGAGTCTAATCTCTGGCTACAGTCTCCTGTGTTTACTACGGAGAGACAAAGTGAGGGGCAGGCATCTCTCCCAGCTGCAGTGGCCCTGTGAAGACTCCCATGCCCTGCCTTTGCAGGGGAAAGCTGGCTTCCCAAGTTTTGGGCAAGAACAAGCCCTGCAGCGCAAACATGACCATTCTGTTTCTCCTGATGCCCTAAAGAGCAGACCACAGTGCCTGTGAGCTGGTTGCCTGAGGCTGTTGGTTACTGTCCCATGGATCTGAGTCCAGCTATCACACCATTGTTCTCTGTGCTTCCCCCACTTTCCCTGACACTTATGGGGGTCCCTATGCAGAAAGGAGCAGGGTGGTGGAGGTTGCCTTCCCATGCCTAGTGACAGGCTCTTTCACTGTTCTGCAGTGGTTGCAGTATCCCTGCCTCAGTGGGCAAGTTATCGGTGGGGCTGGTCCTGTGGGTGTTTGGTACAGCTGAAGAGGGGAACAGAAACACTGGGTAACGCAGAGAGGGAGGTCCTGTACCAGCTTCTCTGCAGAAGGTTGTTCTCTTGAGCAGAACAACCAAACAACATTCTTCCTGTGAGAAATCTGAGGCTTTATAAAGCCAGGCCTTAGAGATGATAATTTTTACCTTCATTTTCTTGGCAGGACATGAATTCAGGATCCTGTTGCTTTCATGGTAATTATTGCTCTGTTCAGAAGCTAAGCCTCAGCTAGCAATATATCTTCCACTGACTCCATTAGCACAGGATCAACCACCTCAAGCAGACAGTTGCTTCCTGGATCTCTCCCATGGTGTTAGACTTAGTTCTTCACAGATCGGCATCCGAAGTATTTCATATCTATGCAGTAACAGAGACTCAGAACCTCACCCAATATTTTGAGCCTGTGGAAAAGGCATTCCTTCAGAGACCTCAAAGAAAGAGCTTACATTTTTGATTTTGCAATTATGCCTTGGTAATCATAGACTGATATTGATCCAGGATCTAAAACAGGGTCTTACAAATGAGTTTAAGGAAGAACCTCCCTCTGTGTCTTTCAACACACAAAGGACCTGATTAGTTAACTGCAAGGGGGGGCTGTGTCCACTCTTCAAGCCCATTACAGAGCACATAGCTCCTCTGTTCAATTACAATTTAGCATATAGATTTCCTGTTTAATTAAAATTTTGGGAAAAAAAAAAGAAAGAAAGAAAGCCCATTTCAGGAAGTTCTCCTGACATAGGCTGTTTTCTTCTGAGTAAGACAATAGCTTCATTGCAGAGAGCAGGAGGAAGTAAGCAACACCATTGTTACAAGTTCAGCTGGAAAAGCTGAAGGTAGGAAGCTCTTGCTCAATTCTGAATTCAGCAGAAATGGGAGTCAAGAATGATAGCAATGTCTCCCAGGCAAGTCTTGTTCCCAACAGCAGGACCAGCTGATGGGAAGTGAATTGTGAGAGCCTCCAGTTACTGTGCCCGCAGCTCCTGTCCGAAATCTAAGCTCACTGTGGGCTGGGTGACAAGCTCCTCCTCACAGCTCCTGCTAGATCCTTGCAGCTGAAAGACTCTCTACTTTAATTTATCAATGATATCTTGTAGCCGTGACAGCCCTGGTGCCTGGGCCATCTGTGGACAGGGCTGATCCTGAGGTCCATCAGATATTGCCAGAGAGGCTTTCCACAGAATGCAATGACACACACATCTTAAAAAAGGTGGCAATACAAAATGCCCCTGCACAAGGTCCCCACTAAACTTATCACTGCACTGCATATCATGCTAAACAGTGTAGCACTAATGAGAACTGTTAGCAATTGTCTGGTACAACTCACATTTCTATTGGCTTGAAGCCTACAGAGCCTATTTGAGGTGAACTATTGTGGAATACCAGTGATGAAGATATTTGGAATACATTTACACTGACCCTGTAAGAGCAGCAATAGCCTGCACCAGTTACAAGGAAAGAGAAATCTCACCAAAGGGAGAAATGCCTGGAAAAGAAGTATTTTGCATGTATGTGGTTGAAAAACTGACACATCTCATTTTCACAATATTCTTCAACTGAAATGGTGTCAGCACCCCCAACTGCAAATTGTTTCCTTGGCAAAATCAAGAAAGATCACAACTTCATAAATGTGGTGCTAGTTTTTTGAAGAACCTTGAAATGCAATTTAAGGAGTGTGAAAATAAATGATAGAGCGTCAACAGCTGTGTTAGAGACCATACAACCAGAAGTTTGTTCCCTAACACTCAGACCTAAGACTTTACCAGTAACAACTGCTTCTCAGCTTAGAGTATTTGAGATTTCCTCCCAATTACACTATCAGTCAATTCTCATTGTAGTTGTCTGAAGTTAGGTGTTAGTATCCTCTTCCCTCAACATCTAAATCTAAGATACAGGAAGGTTACCAAGGTAATCTGGAAATAAACTACAGCAGAACAAAACTGCCTGTAACCAGGTAGACACAACTAAATTTCTTCTTTCCATCTCACTCTAATGATTATATTCTGGACAGAAGTGTTCAGAGTTCTGGGGTTCCTACTTTTTGGGAAAGGATAGATAAGAGACTTTGTGTCAGCTTGTAGAGAGGCAGAAACCTGATACATCACCTGGTTCCAAATTCTACCTACTCCAGAGATACTGAGGGGAGAGAGGGCAGAAGTTCTACTCTTTGACATTATACATCATTACACTGAAAAAGAGCAGCCCTGATTTTTCATATCGACAGTTTCTGACAACAGTGGTGTCTTTGTCCAGCGGTCTGGATTATCCTAACAGTGGGAGAACAACTGACAGTGACTTAGTACCGTGGGAGGCAGAGTGGGAGCACTTGGCTGGTTGCTGGAAGTGCACATCCAGCTATGATTGGATGATGTTCTTGGACACCTGTGAGCCCAGCACATTTGACTGGGGCAAGATGTGGTAGACACCATTTTGGGAAGAGTTGCTACTAAGGTTGTTTCTCTGGACATGTTCCATCCCCCCGCTTTCTGCTTCTTCCTTCCCCAGTTGGTCTAGGCTTTGGGGGTACAGCTCTTCCTGACTGGCTTCTTCCCCCTGTGAACCAGAAGAAAGGTACCAAGAACTTCAGCGACACTCCAGGAGAGAGGCAAGGTGTGCATGATACTTAAATATCCTCCCACATTCTTTCAGAAATTAGTACAATCCTGCCTGTCTATAAAAGATCCAATATACTTTTTGCTGCAGTACAGTGGTGAATGCACATTCAAACATTAAACAAACGAGGAAAGATTCATCCCTTTTCACCCTCTACAAGAACATTCACAGAAATGCTGTGGCAAAGCAAATCTGCAAACAACTACTCAAATAAGCTTTCAGGTACATTCACATGAGAAGTTGGACCTTTCAAGACACTCTTTCAAATGGGAAGTGATCACAAGACTACCCTGTAAAAGGAAAGCTTCTTTCTTACTCAGCTAGGTCACTTTGTGCCATTTGGCTATTCTCATTATTAAGGCCATAAAAGCATGAAGTAATGACATGGTTCCCACATGCCTTGCTGCCTTTGACTTTAAAACTGAAGACCCAAAAAACACTGCATGACTGGATATAGGCAGTCTTTGGCAAAAGTCACAATTCTGCAGTGAGATGCTGTAAGCACACCACTAACAGTCTTCCATCACATATGTCTTATAAATAATCCACAGGCGAGGTATTGTTAAGATCAGAGTCCACAACACTGTCATGAGCTGTTCTTGCTGAAAAGGACCATCTGATAATTTTTCTTTTAACATCTGAGGATAAACAGTTACAAAGCAACTGAATTGTCAGTGAATTGCATCCACTGCCACAGGATTGAGCTTGGCCTCAAAGGAGCCAGAGGGTGTGTTTAAAGATACCATGGTTAACTGAGGGCACATAAAAGCAAAGTGTAACTTTTCTTGAACAGAAAAGGCTTGATCATACAGAATGCTGACCCTGGCCAATCCTTTTTGTCTTATGTCAATGTGGATTGGAAAAGCAAGATGATACCAGGTCCTTTCACAGAGCAGGGCTGTGTGAAGACCTAATGTGAAGCAGGTTCAGGTGCATGGTGGAGGGCTACCAACCTTACTAACATCATCCAGTGGTTTGCCCACCAGGTCCTTCCTCTTCAGCTTGTTTCTTTCTGGCACATCGAGCTTGCTCACCACTGCATCAGTCTTGGAGCCAACGCTGTTTATGGACAGTTCCAGCTGCAGTACACGTTGCAGCAGCCTGGGGGAGACACAGAGAGCATTTGTAAGCCTTTTCTTGTGATGATTAGTAGGATTTGCAGGAGATATCTCACAGACAATGGGCCAGACCTCAAACAGGAGTGAATGTTCCCCATCAGATAATTGATTCATACCCACTGAAGGCATAACTTCCTGCTGTACTGTGTTTTCATCTGTATCAGTGATTCTGCTTAGGATGGATCCCAGCCACTTTGGATGACAGTCCAGACACAATATAATTCCATTATATATTATATTGCACCTGCCTCTCCTTTGATATGGCCCTATGTGGTTTGCTCAGTGTTTCTCAGTAGCAGAATCAGGATCTCCTGGTTCTCTGTGCTGTATTTATCCCACACTCCTGCTGTGGAAGAAACAGCCAAGTGTTATTCTTGGACCTGGACGATAAAGGCCAACTAGGCTATAAATCAAGGATATTTATTCCCACAGGATCTTCTGTAAAGGTATCAGCTTCCCTTGGCCCAGTTATCTGGGCCACCTTCTGATCTGAAATATGATAGCATATTGCCTGTGGCCAGCTGACAGCTGCAGAGGTTATTCAAGAGGCAGAAAGCAAAATTTCTTAATTTTTTATACGAACAAGCAAACTACATTACTAGAATTGTCCCATTTATCTCCTGACCTGCTTATTTATGCATGTGCAAGATAAAAGAGACAAGATCTTACTGAAACTGCTCAGCACCACTGTAAAGAGTTACATCAGGGAAGGAAGCAGAAGGGAATCAGACTCCTTGTTTACAGAGGGTTGAAACTACCGACAGCACAAACATACACTTGGAACTCTTCTTTGGAGACCCAGCTGGCTTTATTGGCGTGGTTATTCCTTGCTTCCCTGTAGATCGGATTCTCATCCAGGTTGTTGTCACCATAGGATTTCCCCAAATTTTCAATCTCTGTATTCAGAGCAACCTGGAAGATAAAGAAACTCCTGCAAAGCTGGATACTAACTCTGTGTCAGCTTTACTGTGAATAACACACAGCTTCACAGGCAGTGATATACCCAGGCACAGTAGGAACTGTATTTGAGTTGCCTGCTTAGTTTATACCACAAGCCCAAAAAGATTCCTGGGACCACTTTGGAGTGAACTCTACCAAACAGAAGATTTCTTTCCTTGCCCTTTTTTACCCTTTTTGCCTCGAGGTCATGCTTCATCTGCTGTTGCTCCTCTTCATCAAGGATGTGGTTGCCATCTTTGTCAAATGTGGAGAAAGCTGCTGTGATTTCATGATCTGCATGGCCCAGTCTGAAAAAGAATAGAAAGAGAAAACTCAAAGCACAGAATTACACTGTTAAGCTGAAATCAGTGTATTGTTTCCTCCTGCCAGTGACAAATCTCAACACCCCAAATGGGCAAGAGATAGTAACACAAACCTACTTAGACCAGCAGATTAAACACGCAAGGAAAAATAACTAATTTTTTTTTTGAGTCTTAAATTGCCCAGATCTGAGCTAACTGCTCTCCCAATCTTGAAAACCAGAGAATCTAGATTACCTGTGTTACCAACAGAAAGAGCTAAGTGGGCATCCCTCAAGGTGACTCACTTACTCCTTCAAGCTATTCTTGAAGTCTTCAAAGTCTAGTTCTTTTGTTCCATTCTGCAGTGCTTTCTGCACATCAGAAATTCGCTCCTTCTTCAGCTTCAGCCTCATGAGTGTCCGGTTGTAGCTCTGTTAACAAAGGTGCAAAAAGGTGCAAACAGACACAGAATCATGCAGACAGAACACTCAAAAGTAGAGCAGAGCACAGGTGAGCCTACGCTAAGTGATACAGGAAGTTTTTAAGTTTTCTACAAGCAAAAATACAACACTGCTGAATGAACCTCATCTCTAAACTAGGATCACACCTTCAAAGTGACAGCAACATGCTAGTCCTCTGCTTTTCTTCTCACAATTCTTCTTTTATCTGATTTCTCAGTCCATCAGCTGTTTAAGATAATGTCTCAAATACTGTTCTTTGCAAAATATTGCTCCCACAGCAGAGTTGTGACCTTCCAGGAACTTTTCTGGAATTCACCCATGGGAAATCCAGATGTAACCCACTAGATTTGCACCACTGTAACATGCTCAGCTTAGCAAAGTAGGACCTGCCGTGTTATTGATCAAAGTACAATCTATCAAGGACTTGAAAGGACTTTGTTTAGAGACCATCCTGGGAAGAAAAGTCTCTCAGAAACATTACATCAAGTAAGAAGATTCCCCCAACCTCTGCTTTTTCATCTTCTCATTGCTAAAGGATCTGGGAGCTTGATTTATTCCAGAAAGGAACTGTGACTCCTCTGCACACAAAGAAGATAGATCTGGAGTTGGCAACCACTGTTTCTCTCTAGTAAATTCCACTTAGTTCAGGGACTTTTAAAACATGCTTCATTATTTAGCTAGAAAGTAGCATGGCTTTCACTATTCATCACCTGCTTCAAGATGTCAGAGAGCTGCAGCTCATCCTTCTGGCTTGAAAGCTCTTCCTTGACTTCTGAGTAGGTGTCATTGATGATGGCCAGAAACATGTTCTAGAAAAAGGGGAAGAGAGGTGAATATGCATAAGACATCTTGCCGGCTCCAGCAACTGAAGCAGCAAGAGGCAGGACTTAATTAAACAAGGAGCTATTTCCCCACAGAGTTTCTCTTGGGCAAATTAAAGTGGGTGAAGGCCCCCTTCAGTCACACTGTGTTTTCTCATGTTTTGCAGTGAAAGCAGTGATTGCAGGCATTTGTTACCAGCTCAAATACTACCTTTGATAGCTTTTCTTGAAAAATCTTAAGTTACATTTGGATTCCTGACACAAGCTGTTTAACCTGGATGTTATGAGCATCCCTCTGCATCCATTGCCTAGGAAGCCAGAGACTCTCCCCCATGGTTTTTTCACTGCCTTTTACAGAACATCTGATCTGATCCCCTTGAATTCAGCTGACACATCAGTGGTATTTCCAGTCAGATTTAGTCTTCACCTTAAAGCATGTGAATATGGCTCTAAGTCACCCTAATAATCAAATCCCCAGCTGTAATAACACACTCTTTGCCTACTGTGGTCTATTCGCACTGCAAAGCTTCTGTAACAAACTCCCTTTCCCTCTAAGCATTAGTGCTGCACCTAACTCAGGGATTGTCAGGAGGGGTCTCTCAAACACTGCTGTCAATACAGGGACAAGGAGTACTTTCTTGCTTACCAGGAGCACAAAGAAAACAAAGAACACATAGGTGACAAAGTAAATAGGTCCAAGGACCCTGTTGGCATTGTCAATGGAATTGTAGTCAAAATCACCAAGAATGATCCGAAACTGGGTGAAGCTGGAGGAAAGAAAGAGCCCAAGATCACACAAAGGCACATGGATTTATCCTACAACCTCGAACAGTCCTGAGGTGAACCTGAACCTGCCTGCAGCCCAGATGGGCATAAGAACAAGCCAGAGCAGGGTCTAAGTCACTCAGTCAGCGTGTAGGTTCAGCTACTCATCCTTAGCAATAAACCCCAACAACCAGAAGTCTGTCTGTTACCCTCAATTTTCTCACTGTGTTCTTTTGTCCATGAAGATGTCACAACCAGAGGACTATGAGTGACTTATTAACTGTTGTGACTTTATTACAATGAGATACAACAGGTGTCTGATTGACATTCAGATTTGCATCTGTAGGGAAGGGTGAAAAGCAGTTAAAATTCTTTTGATAAAATTATGGAAGCATGGCTCTATCTTATACACTTACATGCATTTAACAAAGGTACTGAAGTTTTCCACTTGTGTCCCAAAAAGAAGGTAACCCAGCTGGGCATAGGCAAAGAAGACAATGAAGAACATAATGGCAAAGCCCAGGATGTCCTTGGCGCAACGTGCCAGGGTGGAGGAGAGCTGGGTCATTGTTTTGTTAAAGCTAATGTACTTGAATATCTGCAGGATGAAAGAATGGGGACAAAGTTAGGCCAAACCATCAGCTAGGTCAGTCTCTCTCAGGTATGTGCATGCCTGCTGTCAAGAGGTTCACTATAGTACCAAAGCACTGAGAAGAAAGTTGGGCTAGAGGAATAGTGGCTTAGTGTTCAGGATATTTGTCCCTGGTGTGCCGCCATCTTCCTGGGGGTCATAAACATATGGCTTTGTTCCCTGTGTCAAAGGAAAATACAAACAGGGACTGCTAGAAGGACAAATTTCTTAAAGCTAACAAGGAGCCCCAAATAGAGAGTGGCTTTCCACCATGCCAAAATGCTTTGGTTGAAATGCAAAGTCCATGCCAACACATGAGTAATTTCCAGTTCCTGAGGGGCCATCATGAAAGGAAAACATAGTTTGCAAGATTATCCTCCGGAATACTAAAATAGTACAGGATAGACAAAGTTACATTGTACTCAGCATTTTCTAAAACTACTTTTATACCACAATGTCTGAGCTCATCTCCCTGGCTGTTATCTCCCAATAACTGGCTTCAGAATGCAGGGTGAAAAGTTGTCCAGATTTACTGCAAAACAGAGCATATGACTTTGAGGGAAATCCTCTGCTGTATAGCTGTTACACTCATTTACTCAGAGGGATGGAAGAGACAACCCCCAAGTTATGTAGAGGAAGAGGTCTGACTGGAGACCTGGCACCTCCCAAACCCACTATGATACCTTGATCCAGGCAAAGAATAAGTTGACTGCATTCATATTGTTGTACTGCGTCTGCCAGAATGCCAAGAACTCAAAATCTGCGTAGGTGTTGGGGTGTTTCAGCAACTCTCCCAGCAGCCTGTTCACCTCAATGGTGCGAAAGATGTGAAATCCAATGGCGACAATGGAGAGCTGCAAAGAGGAAGAGGAATAGTCTGCAGTGACCACTGTACCTATGCTTTCCTCAGAAATTAAAGTGTCACAGAACTCCTTGATATAGCAGTTCACAGCTGCACTCTACTGGTAGTGGATGGAAATAAGGTCTTGATGTGCTGAATGATGCCCTGGTTTCACAGTCTCTAGGGGATCTCTAAAGAAAGTATTTTCTCCTAGCAGTTGACAGAAGAGCATATGTCCATTAATTCTGCTAGTTCATTATAGTATTAAAGAAAAACCTCTGCCAGCTCTTGTCCTATCTGGACTAGTTCCCACATTCTTTCATTTATTTTGGCTCTTATACCTCTCTTCAATTGCTCCCCCCAAAACATGTGTAAGAGTCCTCACCAGAATGACAACAACATCCAGGATGTTCCAGATGCTGGTGAAGTACTGAAGCTTGTGGATACGCAGCTCCAAAGTCTCCTCCACCACGTAGTAGAAGATGAAGACACAGAATACAATTTCACAGGCAACAATGAAGAAGTCCCATGCACTGACATATCGTATAAGTTTGACTGTCCGGATTTGCCAGGAAGGAATGGCACCACCAGTGGCTGGAAACTCAACAACTAACCTTGAAGGGGACAAGAAAACTCTGATAATTATAAACAAGAGGATGGAGGCTCTGGGACTGAGAGGCAGCAAACTTGAGCATGATCTGTCCATCAGACCATGAGTGGAAAAGTTGTGCATGTGTGTACACAGCCATATCTCTGCTGCTTCACTGCCTGTGACAGGAAAGGGTAAAAGGTAAAGAAAAGTGTGACTGCTTATGTCAGGAAGACCAAGACTTCTTACTAATCCATACAATTTCTACTGACACCACTCAGATTTGCCCCACTGATAGACCTTAATAAAGTATTTGCATTTTAAGAAACCATGGCACTGAGGAAGATGCAAGAGGCTGAAGAATTTTCAGCTGGACTCAGCTTACCTCAGAACACAGAACAGATTGATATTTGCATTATACACAGAGAAATCAATGAAGACAACTCGTGTTCCCCGATCCAGCCACAATTTCTCCTTCAAGACTTGCAGGGCTTCAGCACTCTCTTCTCTGGTCAACTTGAGGTCTATGTAGTATCCTCCCCCACTGTAACTGGTTAGTCTTCCCCAGTGAGATGAACCACCCAGCTCCTCCTCAGAATGGTAACTCCATCTGCAACAGACAAACCATAAGCAAAGGCTTCACCACCCCAGGCTTGGATATGACCTTGTAGCCTGGAAAATTAGACTATATCTTCAAGGGACAGAACAGTTTTTAATTAAAGAATTGGCACTTAATTCCTAATGAGTTCTTCATTATTGTTAGTTTTCTAGTCTAGTGCTTCCCAGCAGTGACACATAACTTGCAATATTATGGAGGGAAAATTCTGAGATTCGTTGGCTAGGTCAGTCTTGTTTTCATGGAGGTTGCTCGCAGGATCTGCTCTATTGCCTTCTATCACATTGCACACAGCTGTCTGCTTAGAACACTTGCACTTATATTTCCTTATGAACAATAACTTCTTGTTCACAGATCAAGACTCATGCAGCAAGTAAAGAGTTATGAAACTGAAGCTACCTCACATTATTATAGAGAAATAGGTTGTCAAGATGAGAGAGATGTACTTTCTTCTCTTTGGCTCCTGAAATCCCAGAGGAAAGCAAATAGTATCCTCCTTTTGATGGATCTGGTCCCAAAGGTCTTTATTTAACTTCACACTCTTAAAAAAAGGCAACAATTTCTACCTAATTTTCCACTGGATTTTTCATGGCTTTCCCAACAGGTCCCACTCTGCCACTCATTCTGTTGTGCTTTTCCTCAAAGAGACACTCGACCTTATTGATAGACGAAAAGGACTTGCTGCCTCTGACTGCAAGGGGAATTCCAGCCTTATGTGAGAAACTCACCCTCAGCATCCTGCAGCTTAGCAGATCTTGTTTTAACTAGAAGAGACTAATTTGGATTAGATGTACTTACGCTGTTCCATTGATGAGCCCAAAGGAGACCCTTTCCTCCTTGTCTTCTGAGTATACATCATAGCAGCCTGAGATTTCCTCCTTGAAGTCATCATGGACCACACAGGAATTGTTCTTCACCTTCAATTGTCTCATGCGTGGGACACCCAGCAGCAGATTCTCGTAATAGATGTACGACTGGGTGCTGTGCGCTGTCAAGGACTCATTGTTGTACCACTTTGTCCAGTAAAGATTATCCAGAAGGGGACCTTGTGCATACTGCAAGGGGGGGAGAGGAGAACAATCGCTTTGTAGCTCACACAGAGGAATCTTCTTAGCCTGGGACTGAGATAGTAAGATGTGATCTGCCCCTCTCTGCTCCCCAAGACAAAGGTAGTGTCTTTGTTGGATGTATGTTAAGGAGGGGAGAGACCAGGGCTGCTGATAGAGGAGGGATGCTGGGCAGCAGGGTCATTGTTGGTTTCTCACAGGCCTGTTGTACAGTTGCTGCACCTTCCTGGGCTCATAAAAGAGACAAGAGCTCTGCAAGTCTCTTTGTCTCTTCCATTTCAGTCAGCACAAGTCTCAAGGAATTGCCTTGGCACCAGTTGTGAATTATGAAAAGAGCGTGTGCCAGTGTCCTGGAAACACCGGGGGAGAATCAATAGTGCCATTGTTTGCTGTAGTGTTTTAATACGATAGAAAAAGACAAATGTAATTGATGAACAATTTCTGTCTGTCAGAGATAAGTGGTTGCAATAACTCACTGGCCTTCACTGTGGCTCTCATTATTCCCTCACCAGTTCTTTGACAGAAATATGTTAGACCCCAGACATCTTTCCCCTTTTTTATTCTCTTTGACAAAAGTGAGTGCAAATTTTAATCCAGCTTCTTCATAAAGAATCTATAGATCAGACAAGCCCAGACATGAATTACAGGCAGGTTAAGTATACTGTTCCCAAATTGCCATGAAAATGGACAGAAGCCTATTACTAAGACACCAGCATGAAGACATGGGACTGTAGGATTCAAAGTCACTTGTACCACATGGAAATATGAAGTAAATCACTTGGCCTATCTAGATCAGTTCTTTCCATCTGTGCAATGAATAGATGCTCAGATCATTTTAAATTTTTTGTTATGTCCTGCCTGTTCAGCTGGTAAATTACTGGGAAATGGACTCTTCTGGGCACACACAACACTTATCCCAGCCAGTATTCTGGCCACAGTGCTCAGAGGGATAAATGATATTTTAAGTCAGTGAGTATTTTGCATGCAAGTGTTATTGTAACTGTTGCTAGTAGCTGGCAAAAGCTTGTGGCAATAAAATGCCTTGCTGAAATCACTAGGTAGCAAATTCAGAGGGAACTGAATATCCCAGTCTAGCTGAGATTTTCAGGGTTCCCCATGCTGGGCCAGATTTGTACTCACCACCCAGAAGTCAGCCATGCTGCTGATGGACTGGAAGGAGACACGACCATCTGAAGAGGTCTGCAGAAAGAGCTCAGACATCACTTTGGTGTAGTAATAGGCATTGGAACTTGTCATTCCATACGTCACTAAGAGAAGAGATAAGAGGAGGGTCTTTCCTTATACTTGAATATTGGAGCCTGATATAAATATATTTATATATTCACTTTATGTGTAGCTTGTACTTTCACAGGTAAGCTGAGCAAGGCATAGGAGAAGAACTCTTAGGACCTTTTGCTTTCTTAGGGATTTACAAATTTATTTGTTGCATGTTGCAGAATTTAAACTGTCAGACTGACAGACTGTAAGAGGTTAGTAGAGAGAGAATACCATTGGATGATGCAACTAAACATCCCAGATAAACATCAGATAAAATTTCTGAGGGAAATTTTCATTCTCAGAACAAAGCCCATGTTCTGCATTTTGACTTTCTGATGTAAAGCTGCAAAGGTACAGAGACCACCCTGTTTTTCCAAGTGGAAAGCTCCAGGTAAGTTCTCATCTACCAAGAAACCCCAACAGCAGCAGGCTCTAACTTCCACGAGCATGTTGTTTCAATTCTCCAGTGCTCCTCTTCCTTCAGAAAAACATCCATCATGGTGATCACTAAGAACATGTTCTGCTCTTGAAAGCACAGCAGGAAAATAAAGCAGCTGATGTTCAAGACACAACCCCCCCACACCTTCTGGATGAGTCAATGTGTGACAATATGTACGTCTGTGTGCACCTCTTGCGTCTTTAGGAAGAGTGACTGAAGCACTGTCTCCCTGGGCCAGTGTGATAATAACTTAGGTTGCTATTGTCTGTCAATCTCTCCTGCCATAGGGTCCATGAAATATAATCCTCTTCACTATCCCATGCCACTGGTGTTCATTTGTGATAATGAATGAACCTTCCCAAAACCAAACAGCCATTGTTCTATCTGCACAAAGTCAATTAGCATTAGCATTCAGTACAGGGACACATTAAATTCAGCCAAGAACAACAGTGAGAGCTGCTATCTGCTTTATCACCACAGCCACCCCTGCAGTCTCAGAGGGGAAAATCTCTCTGACCTCTGTATCTTTGATGCCAGGAAGTTTCTGGAGCTGCTCTCTGGGTCTTGAACATTTGCTGTGAAACTAATTAAAAACCTTGAGCAGATTCTCCCAGGACTGTGGTGTCAATGGCTAGAACTGATAATGTGAATCAGAAAATACTGCTTAAATCTAACCATTATCAATTAGCAATGGTCAGTAATTTTACTTCTGTGTAGAGTTATTAACCTATTCTATAGGTTAATAACACAACCTCCTGCTGCAGTGAATGCACGTACAATAAATTTAACATTTACAGCAGAGCAAGGAAAACTAATAATAAAATCTCACAGTATTCCCCTCACACTTGCACACAGAAAGGATGCCTATGAGACATGACAGCTACTTACATAGACAGATGTCCACCAAGAACACAACATAGACTAGCAGCTCTCGCAGTGTGGTCTTCACATAAAGCTCTCTGTTTTCAGCTGTGTTCTCAGTCAGTGTAGTGCCCCACAGACCTGTTGGGTATAAAGAAGAGACTGTTGAGTTTTGATGGCCATTCTCAAGGGCCATGTGAGGAGCTGAAGTCCTGTTCTCAAAGAACTCCACTGGCAGTTGAATTTTTGTCACTTTTTAAGGCCAAACCACTTTTCATTTCAAAACTTGACTAAGACCTATAAAAATGTGTTAAATAAGAAGAACTAGAACAATTCCAGCATGAATAAAAGATTTGGGGCTGACCAAAACTATAATATATTGGCTTTTTATTTTTGCTAAATCACTCTCCCATTTTCTGTTTGAGCTCATTACGGACTGATCTTTTTCTGACTGTTTTTCAGCTTACTCTTTGCAGAGATTTGTCACAAGGTCTCTTGAAACTATAAAACTTCAACTCAGTCACCCATATGCCAACAGCTGACCTTCTGTTAGGACTTCTGTAGCAGAACTGCATCTGATGTTAGCTTTACAGATACTAGTCCTTTCAGTGCACGTTGAACCATTAGGTCCCTTGCTTACCTAAAAACTCTTGCAGTTTTCTTGTAGGTCATAAGACTCACACGCATAACACAACTCAATATTTTCAGCATAAAATTTAGAGCCAAATTAGCTTTAGAACATCTATCAATGGAGCTCTGCTGAATCCAATACAGCTATGCCAATTGCAACAGCTAGAGATCCTATTTCTTTCCACAGTCAAAGCAACTCATTAAATGTCACCAGGATTGATCAATAAGAGAGAAACACTTCCTTTAAAAGAAGCCTTGATATTTTGGGTTTGATGAACCGCCTGATACCATTAGTGTATTTGTTTGTTCTTTTTGAAATGGCTTTTTGTTGTGATTTCTGGAATGCTCCTGAAGTTGAAAGGCATAAGAACTTCCAATTGAAAGCCTAGTGATAGAAGCCATGTCGATAATATCCATAGTGTTGCTGCTTTCTGCAGCTCCTAGAGAGCTCAGCCCTGATACCTACTCCCAGTAGTATGCAGCAATCATCTTCCTGCAAGCCAGGATCAAAGCTGATCAAAGGCCACACATTTGAAGTCAGTTCTTGTAGATGAGAAACCGCTTTTGTTTCTCTGGAGCAAGCAAAAGTGATCTAGTGGTCTGTATGCATTTACTCCTGTCATTTTGACAGGTCTTTGGCATCTCAGCAGATCAGAGAGCTTTTTGCACTGTCAACTACTGTAGTGACTGTTCCAGCAGAATCTGCCATCACTCCTGGGCAGACAACTAGTAGCCTGTTCTGGACAATTCAGACCAGCAACAGAAATAACAGCCTGAAGAAGATCTGGATTAACTGCTGTGAAGGAGAGAGTGTCCTGTCATCTACAGGAATCTCCACAATGCAGAAAAACAAGTGGAAACAACTCACCCATCCGTTCAGGTCATATTTAAATGACAACCTTCATCCTCAGATATGACTACATCACAATCTTTTAACAGGTTTGGTTTGGTTTTTTCCCCATGAGGCAGAGAAACCTTACTTTCTATATGTTTGAAGCAGAGGCACAGACTTTCTTTGCTTCGGGAACAGAAGTGTACTTGGAACATCTAAATTCAGTGACACTCAAATATCCCTGAAAACTTGGTTCAGAGAGTTGCCCAAAATGATACCTGAAGGACCATGAGGCTAGTCCAGTACCCTTTCAGATTGCATCTAGAAATTGTAATACTGTATCACTTGAGGTTTGTTTTCAGCTATTTCTTTAGGAAATCTGTAATTACCCACCAAGCCCACCCAGCACCGTTCCTCAGCCAGGAGAAACCTCTAAAGCCTCAGCTCTGACTGCATGTAAATAGATAGTGTTAGACTGTAATGACAATGACAAATAAGTATTGATCATAGAGGGGCTGTGCAAATCAGGACCAAGCTATACTGTTATTCACTCACATGTACTGTTAGAGGGTACAGCTCTGAGAAAGGTTCTTACATTCCAAGTCAGGAAGAAAACAAGAAAAGCTACACTGGCAAGAAAATGTAATTTTCACAAGAAACAGTTTCTTGGTCTATCTTCCCTGTTTTTACAATATTAGGATTTTATGCCTTCTATAAGAAACTGTTCAAATAATGCTCTTGTCCAGGACTGTATACTTACAGGAGACTTGCTCCCAGAGTTTTGATTGTCTCTGATTAAGTCTACATAATATTTCATTCCCCTTTGCTTTTTAAACTGAAAAACAGCACCTCTTTCTTTCAGCTGTCTTCAAGAAAAGCATTGTTTGATACATTCCTGTAATCCCCTGCATTTCAGTCCTGTCAGTGCTAGATTTTCTCTGGTAGATATTTCTATCAGTTCTTAAGTTACTGTAACACAGGGGCCAGACCACTGTCTAGAAAATGCACACATAGACAGAATGGTCTTATCACCACAGTGATGGCTCCTGGGAATTCCGAATATCTAAGCTCTGTCCAAAGCTCAGATTCACTGCAAAACCCAGAGCACATCACTAAGTCTCCGACCTTGTAGTAAAGGTAACAGGACAAACTGCGAAGCTATAGCCAGGCACAGGGAACGAGAATGCTCCTTCCAGGTCAGCCAAACATGATCTCTGGAGTAATGCTACTGTATGTTGAGCAGGGCCCTAGGCTACACAGACACTATGAGGTTTCTACCTTCTGCATCCCTTCTCTCATCCCCTATATGATTGTTCTTTCTGAGGGCTAATAAATCCTTTCTAGTGGGATGTCAGAGCTTTACCTCTTATGCCTCTGAAGATGTAGAAGAAGCACTTGAGGAAAGGACTTGTCTTCCCATCCACAGCTTTGCTCTGTTCTTCCCGGTAGGGCAGTGGATTCCCAACCTCTTCAAAGTTCTCATAGGGATTTTCCAGGGTAGACTTGGGGTTGTAGATGGTTTGAATCTTCAAGGAGGTAGAAGGAGAGCCATTGTAGACAGGATTGTCCCAAGCTTTCTTCCCCACTGTCTCCAGTTCATGCTCCTCTGATGCTCTAAAGTGACTCTCAGCTCTGTTGTTTAGGCGAGACAAATTCATGACCAGTCACTGCCAGCAGAAGTATTTTTTAACTGGAATTGCAAAGATTGCCTGCCCAAGCTGGAATCGTAAGGTAACAGAGATAATCAGTGAATGCCAAACAGCTTGTCTGCCTCAGCAACCAGGAGAGGGCACACCAGCAGCTCCCCACAGACAGCAAGCATCCTCTCTTTTATATCTGCTCAGCTGCTGACACCGATCAGAGGGGTGGCACTACCCGTTGTTAGGAACCACTGTCAGCCTTATTATCCCAGGAGCCGTTGGAACACCGACAAGTCCGGGAGTCATTCTCTGTTTCGTAAAGGCAATAACAGACTTAGATACCGTCGTGAGAAGAGGCTGCTTAAAGGCCGGCCCCTGAGGATGGAGGGTTGGAAGGGGGAGGAGGCGGCTGGGATGTAGCTGGACCCCTCAGGCTGCTGCAGCCCGGGGCAGTTCCAGGGGAAGCTCCGGCTGGAAGCGGCGGTGGGACCCCGTGCGAGCTCCGTGAGGAGAGGGGCCAGACGGGAGCCTTTGCTCGGCGTGGGGGCACTCAAAGTTTCAGCGAAGCGCCGAAGAGCAGAAGCGCTTCCCGTGAGCGGCGGCGCGGAGCATCTTTGTTATGTCACTGTAAAAGCAGGAATGAAAAACGGGGGTAAATGTAGTGTTCGTTTTGGAAACAAGGGGCTAGAATCTTCTGCTTTTGCAGAATTTCCATAAGCCATGCAGTGCCTACTGGCCCTGAGGCAAGCCTGATTTAAAAAAAACCCAAAACAACAAAACAGGATTACACCAGGCAAAACTGGCAATAATAACAGCTGGGAGTTGCCTGCATTCAACTTGCCCCTGGCCAGCAGCAAGTAGTTGCCCCAGGCATCACAGGTGCAGAAGGCCTGTGACTGTACACTAGAGGGTCCCAGGGCTTAACCCTGGAATGACACACTTGTCTTGGTGATGAGACTATAAAAGAATGTATAGGAAGGACCTGAGCCAGGTCCTTCCTCAAGTCTGAATATATAATTCGGAAGAGATGCCTCTCCATGGGTATTGAGGGTTGCACTTTTTCTGAGATTACCTAGGGAAGCAACGTGTCTCTTGTACCTGTAGATGACCACAGGGCTCAAAGGTACAAGCAAGGGTGTTTTCTCTGGACTATATGATCATACAGGTGATGTTGCCAGGCCAGTGGGGATGTGGAGAGATGTCCCCTCCCTGATGATGGCACTAAGCAGATGCTTGAACAATAGTGAGACAAGACCTAACTTGGCACAGGTCACTAAGAAGGCACCAGCTGCTTGGAAGATCACTGGAGGTCTGGGTTGGATCCTTTGACTGAACTTGATATTATTAGGGCCTGTTGTGTTTCATTGCTCCCTAGCAAAATGAGAGCAGTGGAATGGAATCAGAGAGTTGAATGGACGGAAAGCATTTTCAGGGCTCTCAAGCAGTGGGAACACTAAGGAATGAGACCTCAGTGAAGGGCCAGACATCCAGTTGCACTGCTAGGACTGTACAACAGATGTCCCTGCCCATGGACAGGTAACATGGCTTATGGTGCAGAGCTGCTGCTTTGCAGGAACATTGCTGCCTGCAGCACAGCACCACATCACATCTCATCCTTCAGGGCTCAGTACATTGCAGATCTGCCTTCTTGCTAGCTAGGGTACAGAGCAGGTAGTGAGAGGGGGACACTGACCTTCTATATTGAAAGACCAAGACACTCACCTAGCCCAGAAGACAGGACATGTCTGTGTCACCTGATTTTGAAGAGCCTAACACAAGGTGATGCACTCTATAATTAAGGAAGAGCACTCTATAATTAAGGAAACACATGCAATGCTTTGCAGGCAGTGTGGGGTGACTCATTCATTTATGCAGGTCTGTAAAGCTCCTTTTCAGCTGATAAATTTGAACCTTACTGTTAGTGCATGCTTTAGTTTTGGACAGGAATCGAGATGGGACTTAAATTGTCTGTCTGGTTTGGAAATGGTACAAGCACTTCCTTGCTAGGAGGCAGGATATGCATTTACAGAGGAAGCTGCCTCTTTCCACGCTAGATAGGGCAGGGAGATAGGTCAGCTGGGTGAGAATATAATCCAAACTTTAGGACCTCATAGGTCACCATGCTATGTGTTGCTCTCTATGGTGCTTGACTTAAACCCCTGTGGAGCACCACTCTTTGCTGGCTAAGGAACGACGTATGTCTGATAGCATCTTTTTTTCCTTCCAGTGTCTTGGGCCTTATTCACCAACCTTTCATTCTTGTGAAAACCAGCCAACAGAACTTCTCCATTCTTCTTTTTTCTGTCTTTGTTGAGACCCATTTTGCAGCAGGTCTAGAAGAAACCTTTCAGAGGTACGCAAGAAGACCATTTCTAAAATCAGAAACCACTATCACAATGGGATTCAGCATGTTAGGATAAGACAAAGGAGCACAGCCACAGAAATTTATCTGTCAATCTGCCAAGCACACATACTGTTAGACAATATCCCACACTTAAATCCTTAGTGTAAGGAGCAGAGAGCACCAAAGAGTTAATGAATTCCCCCCCAAAGCACTATCAAACACTGAATTAGAACTTCAAAGCATTTAGATTTCATGGTTAGTAAAAAGTTCTATCAGTTAATAAAGAGAAGTCACTTGTTGAGACACTGAAGGTGAGTTCGCTCACCAGACCCAAGAGGACTCTCCAGGACCTCACCGGCCACTGCTGATGTGGCCCTGAGGGGAACTATAGGCACTCTTTGCTGCAACTAAAACAAAAAAAGACACAGCCATGGATAAATGATTCTATATCCATACCTTCTTACTTAGGGTGCTATGTTCATTCTCTTTGCAATAATCCATTTTCAGCAGGTTCTCATCAACAAAAGCATTTGGTTTCCACTTCCAGGCAATGTGAATTGAGCTAGAGATGGTGGTTATCCCTGCGAATTGCATCAGGGGAAGAGAACAGAAAAGTGCTGGTGACAGCACTAATCAACTGTTAAACATGAGAAGAAAAAAAATAGACTTCCAAGCAGAGTATCTTGGTGCTGAGTAAGCTGTTTATGCTGCATTTTGAAAATTTTCCCAGCACAGTGTAAAACATATACATGCTTTCATTACTTTTCATTTAACAAAGTCTTCTCTGCCTCTTTTTTTTTCTCCAAACAGGTGTATTTTATCTACATTTGAATTACTTGATACCATTCTTATTCTAAGAATGTTCAGATGCTAAGGTATCCAATCATCTCTTGAGGGACTCGTTAGAAATCAGCACAAAAGGTGAAAGTTACTATTTGCAACCAAGACGCAGGAACTGCGTCAGTAAGCACCCCTACATGCCTCCAATCCATCAAGATAAATCTGTCTGAGGAGGAGAAGGTGGAGAGAGAGTGAAGGATGTCTTAGACTGAAATTGAGCTATAGAAACATGTTACCATGTTGTACAACTTAATAGTAAGTTTCCATAAACATTTGCAGAAGTACATGTTTACTAACACTTACATATTTCCTAACATATTGCATTCGTGTACCTGTGCAGAGACCCTCAGTGGGGATTTCACTGGCTGATTGCAAACTCACAGGGAATGTGCATGTGCAACTCCAGCTGAACAGAAAGAAGTGGGTATAGAGCAAAGTTATCAGGTCCTTCACAGCATAATGGTAATTTTTCCTCTTTTCAGAATATAGAACTAAATTTTCTTGATCAGTTTATACAATTTTGATTATGAATAACCTTTATTGTCATTCTGCAGGGTGTTGTTTTCTTAAATCTTCATTGCAATACACACAGATGTGCATATGCATGTGTGTGCATTCTACCACACACACACACACAAGCATGCCTTGTGCTCCTAGGAACTGGCTGGGCCTACCTAGTATGGCATTACCAAGAGAAAGTCTCTCTTTGAAACACTGTGGGCAGGGATGAATACCCAGGTGAGCACCACACCTAAAAAAGCATAAGTGCTCAAAGAGTCCTGGCTTGAAAGCAAAAGGTACTTCCTCCTATGCAGTGCAACCAGCCCTGGGGTGGCAACCAACCTGCAGATCACTCCCAGAGGTGATCCACACTTGTCAAGAGAGTCAGGCTGCTTCCTTCAAGGTGCTCAAAGAGCTGCTTCTCATAGGCTGGGCTGCCGTCAGTGCCAGTGGCAGGGTGTTTGGATACAGGCTGCTCCTTTGACCCAGATTTAGCACCACCAGTAAGAAGAGAGAGACATACACACAGCCTGTGTCCCACAGCATATCACAAGCAAACACCTGTCACTGTCTCTGCAAAGACAAAGCAGGACTCAGACTTTTTTCCCCAATCCAGCTATCTGCCAGATGCAAGGGAGTCTCTGCATAATACCTGTGAGAATACAGCAGGTTCCAAGACTGTGTTGAATAAGCGTGACAAGAAGAAGGAAAGTTCACCATTTTGGTTTGCTCCTGAAAGGGCACTGTCTGACTTTTTAAACACCTGTTCGAAAGCCTGTTCCTCTGAACCCTTCGCCCTAATCACTGACTATTCAGACAGACTACTGCTGTTTTCCTTCAGTATCTCTATGCACAAGGTAAAGAATCAGTGTTATACAACTAGAGAAATTAATTGTACCATAAAGACCTTTCCAGTAGTCCTTAGCCTCTGCATAACCTGTTCCCTTAGGGGACTTACAGGTTATATGAATACAAAATGATGAAAAGTGAATATGAAGAAAATGAAAGCAGGCACAGAGGCAAAGAAACCAGCTGAGTCTTCCATAGCAGGCAAAGAGAGCTGAGCAAGGAAGACCTCTAGGTTTCCATCCCACCGGGTTCCTGACAGATACACGCTGTCTTTTTATAGTCAACCCCAACAGGAAGAGGTCTTCATCCAAGAATTCAATACCTCATTCATTTATTCCAAAAAATGTCTTCCCTAATAGCACTAAATATGCTTCTGTGACAAGGTGGTGTAAGGAACAGTTTGAATCTACAGAAGTAGGAAGAGGTAGTTGAAGAAAAGCAACTCATGAGACAGTGCAGGCCTAAACTGGGGAATGTTGCATTAATACGCAGGCCGACACATAGGGAAAAATAACAGGAAGCATCAGATATGACAGATGAGACGGAAGTTTCAATCAGCTTTGTTAACAGAAGAAAGCATGATGGAAGATAGCATTGCTACATCCAGCTTCCTGATGGAATACCATAATTTATAATGAAAAGAACGGGAGAAGAATTTATAATCCTCTTGCGGGAGGCCAGTAAAAGAAGGTCTCTGTTATGAAATTGTTTCCCTCCTCTTGAATTTGTATTCCGACTGGTGTTCTCACTTTTAGAGACAGCAGCACTTTAAGCATTTAATCTCTGAAACGTAGATATGGCCTGTGCCCTTTTCAGTTTATTCACATTAAATCTTGCACTGAAACATTGTGTGGTTTCATTAGCTATTATTTATACTTAAGTTCTTTTCATCTACTCACCAATTATGTGCTTATGAGTTTGATAAAGCTCTTGAACTCACTATTGTG